CGAGATCAATAAATATTATTTACCTTGTTCATCCCTTATGTTCCTCATTCTAGAGTTTATTATTTAGCTGAGATTTACCCTTTCATCTTCTTTAATTAATTTAATAAAAAAGGTTTCAAAATCTTTTGGCGTCAAACAGTGACAGCGAAGCCTACGAACTTATACCATATCATCCGGTCATGATAATAAGTATAAAAAATATCATGACAGATTGGTCCACTCGATCAAGTTAAGGTATCGAGTGATGTGTCCATCCTAGAAGGTTGAGGCGTGATAGATCCAAAATCAAATAAAAAAAAGTGACGTGGGGTATATTGGAATTCACAAAAGTAATTTAGGGATTTAAAGTGTAAAAACCGACAATACCAAAAAAAAATTACTTAAACTATATACTTTAGCATGTTTAATAGGTTGCATGCCTCAATTTTAAGACTTCCTTTTACACTACCACCACATAAAAGTTAAACTCATCCTATAAATAAAAAAAGTTTATACAGCCGACCCGAACCAACTTTGAATTTGTGTGTAGGATTGAATTAATCTGTCAAATTAACCTATGCCTGGCAGTAAACATGTAGCTTGTGACACTTTTTCTTTGTTGACACTTCAGTACCGGTGCCCGGTGCACCAGCAAGCAAAGTTAATAAAGTTTTGTCGAGGGGATATAAACATACTTCAGACAAGAGATTGCATCACGTCTCAAAAAGGACTGGTTTCCTTTGGTAGGCTTTGTGCAGCAAAGACAGATTCTTGTTTTCACAATATATCTTCCTACTTCAAATTGAATCCTTCAGACTCATATCTCACAGTTCATACATGAGAAGGAAGCTTTACTCTAAATACTGGAACATATTTCTCTTAATACATGTGATTCCTGAACCTGGATACTCACTGACAATTAAGGAAAGGATCAGATTCTTTTCTCCTACTCGCTTTTACAAGGACAATTCTTTTTGCAATTCCATAACCAGGAGAGAGAGAGAGAGAGAGAGAGAGAGAGAGAGAGGGGAGAGAGAAATGTCTTACCTTCAAAAGGATCTAAATCCCCAGGAGAGGTTGTAATTCGACTAAAATTTGTGTATTCAGATAACCTGTATCGCTTCTGCGCCTGGCTAACTGCAAGCTTTAATATCTCTTTCACATTTCTGGAAACCTACATCAAGTGTACATTCAATGAATCAATATATCAATACACCTAAAATTATTGAAGCAATAAAATCTTGACAATGCAAAAGCGAAATCTTGAGCTAGAAGGGAAAAAATAGAAAGGCAACAGTCTGGAAAAAGGTGATGAAATCATTTCAAGTTTTCTCACTTAGGACCCAGATACTCTCTTAGTACGACAGGGTAGCTTGCTGACTTTCCATCATTTTACTTTGTGATGATGGAATACAAACTACAATTTTCCTCTAATTGTAAAGAAAAAAGAAGTGAAACCCAAATGATAGAGCTTACTGTGACCTGAGATGATATCCTCAGGCCACAACTGCAAGCAGAATGTCAGGATTATATTTAAAAATATGTTTGCATACTTTTGAAGAAACTTTATCAGAACTCCAAAATGCCTTTGCCACGTCAGGAGGCATTAATTCAGAGACACCTTGAGCTTCAAGAGCTGCAATATTAATGCTGGACGCAGAATTTTCTTCACCATCTTGATCTCCAGGTCTCTTAGGAATATGAAGCATAAAGGAATCTCTTTCCACATCTTTGATTTCAGCAGGTAAACGAACAAACTCGTCCTTTACTGGATTGTCTTCTTTATTATGTAAAATACCCCCTAAGAAAAGCTTGGTGTCTACAGTTTTTCCATCTTCACTTGTGCCACTATCTCCTATTATAACTCGATCAGGATTGATGTCATCCAAATCACTAGTTGTTTCTTCAGCCTCCTCACTGGAAATAGTGTTCTCATCTTCTCCTTCCAGAAATTGCTTCACCGAATCACCATCATCTGTTATTTCTTCCGTAATATTAACTTTCATTACTTTCACTTTCAGATCAGGTATCTTATCTTTAAGAAAATTTATCACACTTCTTATTCCCTCTTCAGCAGCTCCCTCAAAATCTATGCTCTTTTCATTGCTTTTCTCTGCTTCAGCTTCATCTATTTTAACATCAATTACAGCTCTGTTCTCAATCTCAGCAGTTGAAGGCCCCTTTATTGGCTTTGACTCGGATGATGGACTTAAACTTGCTGCACTTCCTTTGGTTCGCTGCATGAATACCACCTGGCAGTGATAACAGACATCAGAAGCAGCATTGACAGAGTCGGGGAGGCAGTATAACATATAGAACCAACCCTAAACAGCAGCAACATCTAAAATTATGTGCAAGACACTGATAGTTATTAGAGTACACCTAAATATGAATACTAACTAAAGGTGAAGTTTTCTGATATGAAATTTAGGAAGAGGTAACAGTGAGTTAGCTCATCTTGGGAACATACAATAAAACCTTCAAGCACAATGTTCTGGTAATCATGTCAGATTGGTATAATGATACAAAACAAGCTATCACTTGGTGCACATGTGGATATCTGCTCAGCATCCACTTTATAACATTATAAATTTGAGAGTATGTGTCAGCATTATGATTTACAAATCAAGAAAATATAATGTAAATCCTCATTTTCGTGGTAGCTCAGTGAAAGACAAGCAGTAGACATCAGCAAAGTTCAAAAATAAAAATAAAAATGAATAACACAAGACTTCGTAAATTAGATCAGTTGGAGTTGCACGTCACCTGCAGGTTGTAAGTATTATTTCCATCTTTGACGACGAAAATCTCAAACAGTGGAGTTCCAGAAGAGGCTTTCACCAACTGCCTGAAACAACCAATAGAATTCGTTGAGAAGAATATATGATTACAACTTATAGCTTTTACTTCCATTTTTGTATTCTTACCTTGGACTATAACTTCTGCCAATAAATCTGCCCACACCTGGAGTAATACGTATTAGTCTGCCAAATGGATCATCTGAATCTTTTGAATAGCCAACCCACCAACCAACCTGCAGTTTGGAGCAAAAGAAGAGGCGAGGTAAGGTCACTCGTGAACTTTATGCTATATAGTTGCTTCTAAGATGCAAAAGGCAATCTATCATATATAGACGTACAAAGATGCAAACACAGCTCTGTCTTATAGAGATACAGGATGAATAAATAAATAAACAAAAAGGTGCATGCATGGCCTTATGCTAGTAATATGGTTGTACAGTGGAGACTCACTAAGGGGCCTATGGATTTAAGTGCTAGAAGATATGTATTACCAGCCCACTTCCCGTACTTTGGCACAATCTTGAAGCATCATGATAACGCTCTTCATCTATTGCATTCTGGTAGCAGAAGGAGAAAAGAGATCACTGCCAATATTCCGACGCAAAAGAGCTTAATGCTATTTTAACTGCAATAAATACCTTCAACATGGACATAATTTCAGCAACAGAGTCCTTCGCTGTAGCTTCTGCGATAGCTGCTTTCAATTTTGCAGCTTCTTCAAAGTCTTCCTTCTCAATTGCTTCTTCCAGTTGAAACTTCAAAACATATAACTAGTTAGAACTCATAGGAATCAGAGCTTCCTGGGATATATTTTTTTAATAAAAGAGAAGAGAACCATCGAAATTTCATTGATGTTGGAGCCACATGTTCCATAAAGCAACTTTTCTAGCGTTTCAAAGAAGCGTACAGAAATTGCTATTAAATAATAAAAAACCAGGAGTTGCCCGTGCCTCATGCTAATATACGAGGAAGCATTTAGCAGTCACTTTATACGATAGAAAAACAGCAGAAAAGAAAATCAAATTGCAATTGATTATGATGACCTATCAGACAAGATAGCTTTTACCATTTCTTCGGTCGGCTACTGGCTTTGGATCATTGCACGGTCGAGATGCCAGTGGAATGGACTAGAACACTGGTTCACAATATATCTAAATTTTCACAATGGAACTGAAGTGGGATGTTCACAATAGCAGCTTGCCAAGTGGGAGAACGAGGACCGTCGGATCGAGGGCATGAAGGCAATAACATAGAGTTGGAGGCCTTATTTCTTTTTTATAAAGGAGTTGGAGGCCTTATTTCTGGGACATCCAGAAAGCTACTCTTCCATTCAAGAAGCCCCTACTTGTACCCCTGCTCCCTTTTATCATGTTATTATGTAACAACAAAATGGTAAATTTCCCATTTAAGCACCCATCTCTAGTCGATGCAAATTAAAATATGGAGAACATATATGTGCACTAGTCTAAGAAACAAACTGAAAAACAAGTGTTCTCTTCTTTTATAAGGACTTAGACTTTCATTTGGACAAGCAAATAATGAAAAAGTAGCACGTTGGTGCTGATTTGAACCGCTAGATTAGCTTTTACAGAGGACACTATTACTATTTTTAAGGACGTAAAAGTAGATCCATTGCACTGTGAACTTGCATGCAGATCAACTGTCAACTCCCTACTAGTCAATTTTACACACTTCCAGTAATTTTACTGAATTGGATGGTCAAGCAGCTGATGACTTGATAAATTAAGTATCTTGAATATGGAATTGTGAAGCCCTCTTTGAGAGTTGTTGATACCATTGGACCTTTCCCCATGTACCACATTGAAAGGGGACTACAACTTTGGCCATCTTATAAGTTCCCTCTCCTCTCTCGCCTAGTGAGATCTTTTCAGGACAAAACCCACCACATCTCACGTAAAATGCCGCGACATGGTGTGTGTAGAGAGGACAACACCTACCAAGACTCTTGATGTTGAAGAATCTGACGGTCACAATTTGTGCCATCTGCATAGAAGATGGTTATACCTCTTCCCAAGTCTTTCATCTAAAGAGACTCAAATGGTACAATGGGACCTTGCCTCATGTCCCACATTTGAAGAAGACTACAACCTTTGGATAATTATATATGCTCATACCCATCTTTAACTCCTTGAGGCACTTATTCTGGAAAGGACTTCCTATAATTCTTGCATGAACAGTTGAGATACCAAAACTATCGCCTTTAGACAGGAGAATACCTCATGGGGACTCTTGCTGTTTATAGATCCGTTAGTCAATAAGAGATGTCAAATTAAGTAGGACACAACTACTACCCCAAGCATACAAATTCTATACTAAATCACCTCTTATTTATTTCATCAGCTTTTGGGAATAGAGGGGTCTTAGTCTCTTAACAACAATCGAAGAGGCTAATTGAGCATCTAACTATAAGTAAAAAGGGATTAATTAAAAGGCATGGGGCAAATAGGTTTTGACATAAGGATAGGTCCCTCCTTGCCTAGAAGCTCTGTCTTTTAGAGTCAACGATATGAATCCTCTATATCTATACAATTATATTTGGACCTATTTGACTCCAATACTCAAGAATTTGCGCCTTTTAGGACGAATTCTATTTTATCAATTCTCCAAATCTTACACTTCTTATATACAGATTGCTAACTAAACTAAAAGGACTGGTAGCAACAACAACTAAACCTATCCTATACGGGCTTAAGTGCACATGGATTCTGAATAACTGCAACAGATATTACCGTTTCATACAAAATACATCAAGCAAATCCACTTCAAATCAAAGCGAGAGAGAGAGAGGAATAAAGTACCTTGAGCACAGAGGCATAGCTCTCAGCTTGTTCAATTTCAGAGAAATAGCGGGTCCAGCGGTTCCAATCCCAACCTGATGAAGAAGTAGCGAAGCAGCTATTGTTGCAATTTTCATCAGCAGAGGGAGTTGAGGAGGTGCTGTTGACATTGACGCATCGACAACAAAGCCTCGAATTTTTGCTGTTCTTAAGAAATAATTTATTTGGGAAATTAACGAAAGAATTAGAAGAAGCTGATGAAGAAGAGGAGAGGGAAGGCCTCGACGGAGGTATACGGACGGTGGCGTGTCCAGCCGCAGCCCAAGCGTTGGCCACAGCCATATCTCTTCTTCTTCTTCTTCCTTTTGCGCTGTCTGTATTTGACTTGTAGATTTGGGTTTCTATTCAATGGAGTTTGTTTGTGGATAGAAGATGAGAGAGATAACTCTCGGCTGATAAGAGCAAAGAGGAATACATGGTTTTGCACTTGGAAAGACAAGGACCAATGGGGCCTACTCTTTTTCTATATTTTCTGATTTTTCGGCGAATTAATCTTCCATTCAATGTCTCAATTTCACTATATACATGATTAAATGGAGAAAAAAAAATACTATACATGATTAAATGGAGAAAAACAAATACTATGCATGATTAAAAAACTTTTAAGAATAAATTTCTTTTGGAAAATGTTGTCTAGTGATTAAGGGAAGAGCAAAGAAGAAGGCTTTTTGTTGAGATTTGAATAAATGTATAACACCATTATTGTATAATTCTAAATTGTAAGTTATTAGTGTTATGAAATACTTGATTACGGTGGATGTTCATAACTGTTAAGGTAGTAACACCTACTACTCTTCACTATTATTTACATAACTCTCGCTACTCCAACACTTATTGTTATAACTCTCATATCTCCATTATCTTCTTCATGATCTCAAATACTTAATGTCATGTTTATGACAATCTTTAATATACCTCTATGTAATACTATCAATAGAGGATGAAAATTAATATTGTAAACACTTGAAAAATATTTGGATGAAAATCAGGTATGCCAATAGGTACTGCAACATGTGTTTCTGTAGATGAAATCTTCTTCTCTTCATCATGCTCTATCTAACGATAAAAACAAGGATAACAATTATGTGATACATATATTTATTATTGAGTGGTTTCTTCTCTAGAATATATTGATTAATGCATTAATACTCTTAGTCTGACAGAATAGAAACCTACCGAGCTAATAGGTAATTTACCGAATGTTTGATTATTTGTCATTTTCTCTTTGTGCTTGCATCACTGTCCAATACCAAATAAAAAAATTGTACGCTTACGTGTTCTTACCAAACGAACCCGTGGTTTTGGTTTATTAAAAGTTCAATCTAATAATTTGTAATTCACTGATATTAATAAAGATGAAAGGATATAATCGTATTGTTAATCGTATTTTATGGGGTTCTAGTGCGTATGGATCACCGTTCCAAAATTAATTTGTGAGTTTGCCTAAAATAATTGAAAAAACGTTTTATCGTTTTGATATTTTATGACTATACTCTCCTTAACACTTGGTTGCTACTACTTTGGTTTGGTTTATTAGTACCTAAGACTAGAATTTATCATGTAATAGTTCTTTAAGTTGAATTAATGTCTTACATTAGAAAATATCCTTGAACTATAATAGAGTTACGAGATATATATGGTTGCCAAAAGTGATGTAATATTTTTAAATGTTCCAAGGCGAGTCCCAGTACATGCACTTCGGCTTATTATGTCAGTAATTGAGGGTTCAAGTCCCAACGCACCACAAGGATAAGATATCAGGTTCGAGTCCTGGTGCACCATGATGATAAGAGTTTGTCGAGTCCCAACTTATTATGGCCTAACATGCCTTTATATAGATAAGACATTGGGTTTGAGTCCTAATGCACCATATTGATAATATAATGATGATTGAGGCAAATTAATATTACGCTTTTGATGAAACATCATGAAAATTGTCCCACTTGATTTGCTCTATTTTTTAAGTGAATATGGTAACAGTGTATAATAAGTCTAAATGAAGATAAGTGGTTGACGAATGAATATGGGCGTGGCAAAGACCAAAATAATAATAGTCATCATTGTGGTAATTGTAAAAAGGAGAACAATAAGGGTTCTCAAAATAACTCTTCAAAGGTAAAGGAAATGTGTATCAGTGTGGCCTGTAAATATGATGCACATTCAAATGATTATGGTCCATTCCTTGAAATTGTGACTTGTGATAAGCATTGTAAATGCAGAATCATTTCTAAAAGTGAATGTGAAAATATATATGTGATAAAAAATTATGAATAAGGACGTGCTCATGCATGGTTAGATAAATACCACAACTCACCTCTAAGGGAAGTTTGAGAAAGATAATGAATTTTACTGTGTGATTACATGAATTAGTTATCGGTCGCGTAATTATGGTACGGCATATATATTTTTTCATGCTTTATTAAATATTATTAAAGGCAAAAGTAAAGCAAGAAACGCGTCTTGCCTATAATGATTTTGACTGTGACACTGATAATACAATTTTCTCTGTGGAGCAAAAATTCACCATTTGGATGGTGTTATAAAAGATCTTGTAGTATAAAATTATTGAGAGCTCCGGAAGAGCGAATTTTTTACTAGCCGAATAAATAAAATTATTTATGGCATTGGTGTTGTAGTAAGTCTCAAAAGAAACTTTTTGAGTTTCAAAGATATTAGCCAAAGTGGTTGGCATATTGGGACTATAAATGAAAGGAAGATTGAATATCTTCATATTACTACAGTCATATCTGGTAAATATGAAAGGTTACGTGACTTTCCTTCTATTTGTACTATACAAGTATAATCATGATGATGGAATCACATGTCACAAGTAAACTAGAGGTTTACTAAAATAAATATTAGTTGGCATGACCGGTACGCCATTCCGGTTCAATTATGATGCGAAAATTAATTGAGAATTCACATTGACATATATTGAAGAAATAGAAGATTTGTCAAGAATTCTCTTGTGATACTTATTCTCATGATATACCGGTTAAAGTTGGGATTGAATCCCTTGATTTCTAGAACAAATAAAATGTGATATATATATATATATATATATATATATATATATATATATATATATATATAGGCCCAGTCACTTGCTATGTAGACCGTTTACTATTATATGATTTTAAATAGATGCATCTATTGTATGGTCACATGTGCGTTTGTTATCAACTTGCAATTTGGATTTTGCAAGGTTGCTTGCTTAAATTATTAGAGCGGAGTTCGAGAATATAAATTATGATGATTTTTCTTGATAATGCTGCTTTAAATCCAAGTTGGTTTAGCAGAAATTATATGCCTCCAATTATAGCTAAATCATTGGTTATGATAATAAAACTCCCAAAAAGAAATTTGATATGAGGTGTATTATTTAATATACAATAGCACTTGTACGCATCTAGCCAACAAGTTATGATAAATTCTCCCTATCACAATTGGTTCAGAGTTAGGAACCACATAATTTCCATATAGAAATATTATTGTGCTATATAATTTAATTATTCCACCACAATGCACAAAGATGGGTCCCCAAAGAAGGTTGGTGATACGTGTTGGTGATCCCAACATTAGGGGGAGAAAATGAGCAGCTGAAAAAGTAATACATGGAATAAATTCTTATGAGTACATCTAGATCCTCGTAAAAGAAAATGTAAACTTGAAGTTCAAGTGATAATTCATTTGTAAAATATTGTCAGGTGCATTTCCTGACCCAAAACTAAATATTATATTGTAAAGACCCGATTGGTCATTTTGTTGTAGCCTTGTACCCCCCCCATTTACTGCTTATTTTATGCTCAATTATCGTTATGTGACTTACCGAGGTTGTTGTGTTAGTTCCGGGGATGTTTCGGAATGAGTTGAGGCACTTAGTCTCAAGGTTAGAAGCTTAAGTTGAAAAGATTGACCGGATATTGACTTATATATAAACGACTCCGGAATAGAGTTTCTATGGTTCCGATAGCTCTGTATGGTGATTTTGGACTTAGGAGTGTGTCCGGATAGTGATTTGGAGGTCCGTAGTTGATTTTGTCTTGAAATGGCGAAAGTTGAAAAATTAGAAGTTTGAAAATTGAGAAGCATGACCGAGAGTTGACTTTGTGGTTACCGGGCTCATATTTTGGTTCCAGAAGTTGGAATAGGTTCGTTGTGTCATTTATGACTTGTGCAAAATTTGAGGTTAATCGGAGTTGATTTGATAGGTTTCGACATCAATTGTAAAAGTTGGAATTTCATAGTTTTCATTAGGCTTGAATTGGGGTGTGATTCGTATTTTTGATGTTGTTTGATGTGATTTGAGGCCTCGTCCAAGTACGTATCATGTTTTAGGACTTGTTGGTTTATTTGGTTGAGGTTACGGGGGTCTCGGGTTGGTTTCAGATGGTTAGCGGATCGAAATTGGCTTAAGTGTTATGCTGAGGTGCTGCAGATCTAGTGTCATCGCACCTGTAGTGGGATTGGCCACAAGTGTGGAGCCGCAGAAGCGGCTAAGCTTGCGCAGCTTCAAAGAGGAGAAAGGTCACTAGGGGTCGTAGGCACGAAAAAGTTTCCGCATATGCGAATGCGCATCTGCGCGAGGTCGACCGCAGAAGCGGAATTGGACACGCAACTTGGGAGTCGCAGAAGTGAGGAAATGATTGCAGATGCGGTCCCGCATGTGTGAAGCTGGGACCACAGGTGCGCTTGGTCGGCTGTTAAGTGAGTTTCGCAGAAGCGAGTTTTTCTCCGCAAAAGAGGAAGCGCAGGTGTGAGCCCAGGCTCCGTAGGTGCGGAAATGCCTCGGCAGTGTTTAAAATTCGAGGGTTTCATGATTTTAATTATTTTGGACTTTGCAAACTCGAACTAAGGCGATTTCTGAGAGGGATTTCGAGGGATTTCTTGAGGTAAGTCACTCTTGATAATTTTTATTCAATAATATTATTTCCCTGTTGAATTTTTTACCTAGTTTGTGTGTTTTCTAGGTGGAATGTTGGGAGTTTTAGGCTAGGGATTGGAGAGTTTAATTTGGGGATTTGAGTAGCGATTTGGTGTTAGAATTTGGTAACTTAGTATGGTTGGACTCGTGGTTGAATGGACTTTCGGATTTTATAATTTTTATTGAATTCCGAGACGTGGGCCCGGGGATTGACTTTTAAGTTGACTTTTTGACTTCTGATTTGGAACTTAGCATTTTCATATGGAATTGATTCATATAACTTGAGTTGATTGTATCGAATTATTTGTGGCTAGATTCGAGGCATTCAGAGGCCGATTCACGAGGCAAGGGCTTGTTGGAGTAGAGATTTACACGGTTTGAGGTAAGTAACACTTCTAAACTTGGTTCTGAGGGTATGAATCCTAGAAATTTTATGCTATGTGATTGGTGTTGAGGTGACGCGCATGTTAAGTGACGGCGTGTAG